GGCCAGGCGCAGCGCCCCGCTCAGCACCGGCTCCAGCGCCGCGCGCCCCGCACCCGGGACTTGGACACGCACAGCCCGCCCCTAGCACAGCACCCGGCACCTCTACACACCCCTTGCACACCGCACCACGCGCCTGTACACACACCGCCTGTCCCTGCACGCCGTACCATGCACTTAGACGCCCAGCCTGCTACCGCGTCTCCGCGCGCACCACGCAGAGGGGCAGCTTCTACACACACAGCACCACGCACCGGTCCTACCACGTCCCCCCACACAGTGAACAGGGCGCAGCTTCTCCACTCACAGCACCATGTGCTCGTGCACACACAGCCTGCCCTACCCATATAGTGTCCCAGACCCCTGCTGTCACCTCCACGCGCCCCTCCCTCTCTATATACACCACCATAAATCCGTGCTGCCCTCTATCCACACACGGTCGCTACACACACATGCACATAACACCAGTGCTACTGATCGCTATGCATCCATACTGCCACCTCTATGCAGCCTGCTTTTACACACACAGCACCAGCACTACACACCATCCTCCACCTATGCTTACCACCTGCACACACACTGCCTCTTCAAACATATTACCACTAGGTGCCAACAATGCTCATACTGCCCTCTGCATTCAAACACTGCCCTTCTGTGTACCAGCTACACACACACTGCCCCTATATAGCCTACCACTTCCACACATCTTGCCTGTGTACACACACCATAACACAGCCAATGCTACCTTCCCTACATACACACTACCTACTCATTGTATCTCCATTAGCCACATGACTCATCAGCAGTACACACAACCACTGCATGACCAAGACAAAGTACCACCATTGCACATCTATACATACACCCACCTCTCCCCATTTTGTGTGTGTATAACACACAGTCTAGTAAAATTCTGGTCTCATATCTCTGTAGTTGAACATGATGACTGGGTTTGGACCATAAATTCTCTGACTACTGGTGACTGTTCACCTTACTTTTTATTTTTATTTATGTTCCAATATAAAAAAATGAATATATCAAACAGCACCATCGCATACCCTTGCTACAGTATACAAATGCATGTGCAAATGCAATAATGAAATATACACATGCTCACATATCACCACCCCATTGCTGTATCATTGTTCCCTGTCACATGCACATAGATTACCTCTACTCATCAACACACTTTAACATGGCACAAACACTGTGATTACCACTGCGCAAATTAACTCATATCACCACAACACACACACTGCCATCTATCCAGCACCAGATTCATCACCATTCATACATCTTCAGCATCTGTTCACTCCAGCATACTCACAATTTAAATCTTCAGCACATACCCACTCTCAAACAAATACAAGTTCAAAAATTATCCTCCCTAAAGCTCATGAATATTCATACTGACTACTGACTATATTCTATTATACTGACTACCTCTTCACTCCAGTACATGCATGTAACCCCTCCAATGTATCCTCTTCATCATTACTTATTCACCGTGTGCTTCCTGTCACATCCCCATGGCCCTCATCATCTACTACAGATGGACATACACAAGCACAACCTCACTATGTATGCACAAGCTAACTGCTTACCTTCAGTACTCAGGCACCTGCATATAGACAGACATACCTCAACAAATGACTGAAGTTTGCACACTGCCCACTACAACAGATCCACATATGTGCTATTTACCCTGTCCAACATTCACCCCCTTCATCCTCACTATTTACTGTCACATGCAAACACACACACCCACACCCATCATCATCAGCTCCTACCCACTCCAACAGTCACACAAACCTGTCCACACATCCACTTCTATCATTACAACTGCTACCTTCTGCCCCCCACAATTTTGCATGATTCTCTGAAAAGTAGATCCTAAAATATGTTTATATATAACATGTTGATGCTATAGTAAAAGTCTGTTCTGCTGTATCTGTAATTGCTCATACTTTCTGTGTTTGGACCATAGTGACTTTTCATAATTGTGCAGGCTTATTTTATTTTGATTTATGCTTCAATATATAAAAAAATAATTTATTAAGAAAATTATCCAAATATTCCCAGGGCTATTCTGGCATATAAGTGTTTTAGCTACATGCCAGAGCATTCAAAGATGTAATGCAGTATTTTCACAAAGAATTGATTCTTATCATTTGGGTTTGGGAGGTTGTCTATTATTTGGGACAATACGCTGGCATTTGGGATATATAGATTACCATGAAAGAGATTCACATTTGAACAACACTCATAAAAATCTTTACTCACAACGTACTTCACAACACTATTTAAAAATCTAGTGTTATATAAGTTTAACTGGAGAAATGATTTGCATTGCATCTATGTTCTGTGAGAACATGAATCAGCTTTCAGCAACTAATAGGCACTGGGGCTTGAGTAAATAATTGCAAGCCTATCAAAACATCTGATTGCTTCAGACCTTTTAGTCTACTTGAAAATCTGTAGTTCAAATATAAATCAAATACTGGCTCACAAGAGCATTTATTTTAGTACATATGGGCATTTACTTATGGAATATTGTTTAAACATTTTGTTTTTTAACGTTGTTTCAGGTTAGTATATAACAATATTCTGAATGGAAATGTTAGATCTTTTAGATTGTACTGCATGAAAATCACAGCAAAAAGATCAGTCCCAAAACTGATGGTGCATTAACTGAAATGTCATCACCAGCATACTTCCATTTTTTGTCCCTCTGTCATTTCACCCCACCTCCTATTTAATCACTCATGCAGAAGGGTTTTTGGATTCTCTCTTCATGTTTCATGGCAACCTTTCTTACACAATGTTTACCTTAGAGCCTTCCCTCTGCATCTCATGAACACCAGATGAGTTGTTGCGAAGAAAAAGAAAGCATATTGAAAATGTTCATATATTAAGTTTACAAATCTGAAATAATAGGTGTGTAATGTCCAGTGAAGTGAATGGTGGCTGTGGATTTTTCAATATGTATTAGCTTTGGCCATGGGCAGACCCAGGAGGGGAGCCTCCTTCAACTGTGACCACTCTTGCCTTCAACTGTGCAGCACATGTATAGTGAGGCCTCTAAATTTGCTGGCTTATCAGCCCCACCATTGCTCAGCTCCCATCCCCTTTTCCCCACTGCTGACTTCAGTGGCCGGCCAGAAGGAATTGGTGGTGCCACTCACTCCTAGGGTCCCAGAGCTGCACTAAAGCAGCAGCTCCATCTAGAGCTGCACTGATAAGTTGCTGAGCTCAGAGAGCTCACTGTACATGCACTGCATAACTGGCAGGGGATGCAGCTAGATCCTCCACACCTCCCTGGATCCACCCAGGGTCTGACCTTAATTAGGGTCTGATTTTAGTTTTCACAATGGAATATATTTGTCTGTTGCTGGTCAGTTTGTTTTAACTTTAACTCCTTGGGGTGCTTGTACACATGATGAAAATTGCCCATGTTTGTGGTTTAATTGCATCACACTTTAAACGTATGGGGTTTTTTTGCAATATAGATGAGTTTGTTATGTTGCAAACTAAACCACATCCCCATGTAGTTTAGTTTGTGATGTAGCTACTTGTAACATTTCAGCCTTTAATCTGACAGCTCGCCCCCCCTGGCCACAGGAGAGGCGGGCTTAAGGCAGAAGCAGTGAGGGTCTTGATCCTTTTTTACTTCTTTGTGGAGCCTGCTCATCTCTTCCACAGCTGGGGGGATGAGCTGCCAGTGGACTGAGAAGCCCCTGACCTGCAGGGGAGCTTGGTCCTTCCCTTTGTGACGGTGGTGCCCCCTGGGGCCACCTGAGCGGGCTGCTAGTAGGCTGCGGGCTGCCCCAGCTCAGAGGCAGCACCCACCAGATAATTGGAGATGCGTAGGGGGTACATGTGGGTGCACATGCACCCCCTGAGATTGGCGATGCACCCCCTGAAAGAAGCGCTACTGATGTTGCCGGCAGTGCCTGTGGGTAGTTACTGCTCGCCACCCTCCCCCCTGCCAACACTGCCGGCGGCATCTGCAGGCAGTCACTTATTGCTGCTGGCCACCGCTGGTGCTGCTGGCAGCATCTGCTGGTAGTTGCCAACTGCTGGTTGGCACTCACCACCTCCTCCCACTGCCGAAACTGCCGCAGCCACCTGTGGGAGCTCGCTGCTCGCTGCCTCCACTGCCATCTATGGGCAGTCACCATGTCCCCGCCCAGCCTTCGGGGGCACCAGATCCAAGTCTTCCCTGAGCCTGCCAGGGTTTCCACATGCCACCTTCTCTGTCACCTTCTCTGGCTACCAGCATACTCATCCGCCCTCCTGCCACTTCCCTGCTTTGTACCAGGCGCAAGCCAGCCCTGTGCTGGGTGGTCCCAGGAAAGTGGCAGAAACAGTGAAAGGCCTGGTGGGCTTGGGGAAGAGTTGGATCCAGTGGGTGCTGCCTCCAAGGAGGTAGCCCCCAGTCCGCTAGCTGCCTGCTTGGGTGACCCTGGGGGGTGCCACCACCATGGACGGAAGGACTAGGACCCTCCAGCAGCTCACACAGGCAGGCTCCACTGGAAAAAAAAAAAAATGGCAAGGGGCCTGATC